TAATAATACATTGATAAAAGTGTTTCCTTATTTTATATTTCATTTTGATATGAATTATTTACACACACACACATACACATACACACACAAAGATACATACATACATACATACACAGATGATATGGAATACGGAATCAAATTAGAATAATTTTGTTATTATATTATACTTTTATAGAATGATACTAATTCACTCTTTCTTTTCTATAGTACGTAAGTACATCTGTTGGTATGACTTTTTCTTTAATAACAATGAACAAGGAGAGTAAGATTTAGTATCTTGGTAGTACATAATTTTAACATTGAATTATAATAAAAAATAATCATAATATATTCTTAATTTTCTAAATAATTATTTTAACATCATTATCATTAATGTAAATGGGTATCATTCTTACTCTTCTCGTTATACCGCTTCTTATTATTTCATTCTTAATGGTCAGTATTTATCATAGATAGAAAAAAAAAAGTGTTCTATAAAAGAACAAATATCTATATACATAGAATGGTATTGATGTAATACAGTCTGTAGATCACTTTACAAATTTGATTTTAAATAGAAGCGAAAATAATGATTACATAACATAATAACATTCTATGAAACGAGAAATAAAGAAGAATAGGAGAGTGAAAATAAATGGGATAGAATAATATATGATGGTGATGATAGTGATGATGATGATGATGATGATGATAGTAATGGCATGAAAGAATATTATTCTCTGATTTCTTTTTCTTGTTTCTTCTCTCTTCAATGGTGAATGTCTTTGACTAGATTGTTGTTTTTTTCACTCCCTGTATAAACAATGAAAAGATTTGTAAGACAATATTACTTATATATATATATATATATATATATATATATATATATATTAATAAGTAGGTTAAAAGAGTAAAATATTAGCAGTAGATGATAACACCCCTACATTTCAACTATATCGGATGATAAAACATTTTAAAGCATCTGATTGGCTTATTTTGATAATGTGATTTACCCGAATGGAACACATGTTTTCAGTTGGAAACTGTAGGTTAAAAAACTCAAATGGATAAACTATTTGGATTGAATTCTCTTTACTTTTCATGTATATGTACACTTGAAATAATTAGATAAATCAATCTATGCATTCCATAACATACAAATAAGGATAAATGTCATTGTGAGGAGGGTAAAACAGTCTCTATTCTCATATTTTATATTTGCTAAAGTTAATGATCAGCAATACCGGCTATTCTACCATAAGTACATATTACATGTATGTCTGAAACATATGGATCAAATCTACATTTCAATTTAATAGGTACCTATGTGCTCATGTATCCAGAACGAGTAAAATATTGTTAATCCGGAATTACAATAGAGTATTAGATTAGGTTAATCTTTATCGATCGCTAATGCTAATTCACAGAACATAATCCCATTATTCTTCAAGCAATGAGAGAGATTATGGGTAGGATATATTTTTTATAATATTTATCAGCATAAAAGTAAAAAACATCTTGCGCAGATTCTATCAGCTGATTCCATAATTTTTAAGCTTTTCGTATAATATTTTATAATACGATAAATAATACATTAGTGGCTCAACAGAACTATAGGCAGTTGAAGAATGTTATTTAAGACGAAACTATTGTCAAGTAAATTATCCCATCAATTTCGTTCAATTACTATCTATTACAAAAGAAATATACAAAGTTTATACTGACCCCACTAGCGGGGGAATTGTGGATGTGCACAACTGAAAAGTTACATATTAGGATGAAATGTCCATCCAGTGCATCTAAGATTTTCATAGTCGTCTAACTTCAATTGATTCATGAATTCAACTATTAAAACAATTACTAAAATCTCTACAAAACTTTCTTTTTGACAAATTGAAATCTCAATAGTTGAAATCATGAGTCAATTAAAGCTAGACCACCATCGAAAACCTGGAAGCATTGGACATCCGTTTCGTCCTAGTATAGGACTCCTCAACAGTGCACATCCACGTCCCACTTCTCGGGATTCCAACCCAGGACCTATCATTCTCGCACCAGTCACTTAACCAACTAGACCAATCAGTTGGTCGGCATCCAACGGTGTTAATGTCTAACTTCAACCAATCCACAAAGTCGCGCCACCGTCACCGTTGTCTTCAGTAAGTTGATATCTCACAACAGACCTTGTTGAACTCTTCAAAACAATCAAATAATATTATTGTTCAATTATTCATAATAATTCAATTATACAAATAACTTGTTTGAACTAATTATTTCCCAATTTATTAAATATCGATTGATCAATCAGAAAACAAAATCAACCAATATTAATTATATTATTATTATTACTCGTAATCTTTAGTGAACATCCACACACACACACACACGCACATCCACACATCCGCACACACACGCATAGAAACATGCATATTATGTGTATATATATTTATAGAAATAAGTATACATAATTTGTAAAGCAATATTATACATCAATTTAATTTGGATAAATCTAAGACAGATATATATTTTTGTAATTTTTTATCAGTCTTATCTATTTTTATCAAAATGTGTTTATCTATCTTAATGTGTGTACCATGAAAAAGCGTAAGGCTAGTCATATTGTTCAATTCTGTGTTGTTGTTGTTCTTGTTGTTCTTGTTCTTGTTTAAATGTAGTTTAAGCATGATTTATCTTATTTTTCAATTAATTTAGTGTTTGTAATTGTTTTGTTTTTTTTTGATGAGGCACCGAATGTCTGAAAAATTCTTTGTTTGGTCTTTTATGTTTCTAACACTATAATAAGACTAGTTAAAGTAAAATATGCGAACTTTTTCTAAGTTAACTATATATTGTATGATACTGGATACAGTGGTATTTTGTAGAATAAAGAATGGGATAAATAATTCTATTCGGAATGATAGCCAATACGCCTTCAGTTAATATATATATATATATATATATATATATATATATATATATATATATATATATATATATATATATATATATATATATAACTATACTCGTTTGTATGTGTGTGTGTGTAAGAGTGAGTGGGCACTTGACTTAGTGAATGTATGCTGCTGAATGTATACATTAATATATCGAATAATGAACTGTCATCTTTTATGATTTTCTTTTCAAACATATTCGCAATACGCATATTATATATAGACGTGTACACTCTTCTTTATACACGCGTACATGGGTATGGATAATTTGAAAAAAAAAAGTGGACAGACAATAAATATACGAATATACAAACTTTCGTATCCTATTTACAAAGTCAGTTTTATAGAAGAAACCATTAAGCCAATCGACCAGATACAATAAAATCATAGAAACGAATATATTCATGAACATACTACCATTAATAATATGAATACTTATCAAACTTAGTTAGTAGTAATCATAACAAAAGAACTAAATCGAGTAAGAAAAACGAGATAAGACACACTAGAAGAAATGGGTAAAGAAAATCGAACTCATGATATAAAAACCAGAAATTAAGATTTGAAAGAATTTTGTTTTTCAAAACATTTTTTTTGTTGCCTATTTTCTTGTTTATTTGACTTAATAGATTTTGACAGTTCGGGGTCAACCAACCAACCAACCAAACCAAACCATTTCATATGCATTCAAATAATTGTTCTTATGTATGCCTATATGTGTTATACCATGATATACATGCATGTTTATATACATTTGATAAATTACTACATAACTACATATGTTCTATATATATATTATTTTTGAGAGGATACTAGTTAAATGAAGTTGTACACGCAGCTATGGACGAATGTATGTTTGAATACAAATCAGATATGAATATATGATAAATGGTCATGTTTGTATGCCTTTATTCTTGCGTTGATTTGATGAAGTTGGATAGAGAAATCTAAACTGAACCAAATAACAACTGTTACAACAATAATAACAACAATGTAGTAATATTTTTATTCATCCTCTCTCCTAGAATATATTTCCTTCTAGAGGTTATGTGTTTGTATACATTTTCGTAAGTCTTCCTCTCTCTTTCTCTCCGCCTTCTATTTGTTTCCGTTTCTTAGAGAACTGAATAAAAATAATTAGGAAAATCGATTGTTTTTAAAGAAGAGAAAAATCATTCCTACCACTGTACATGATATTTATCTTTCCAGATTTAGTTTCTCCCCATTTTTTTTTCATTATTACTATTATTATTATTATTATTGTCGTATGTTGATGTGATCAACTCAATGATTAATAAAAGATTTCCACTATATTGTAGTAACTGGTAAAGAAACATTATTAGTAGTATATAATTGTGAACGAAAAAATAAATGAAAATTCCAACATATTAATTTAAATATCACATATATTGATTACGAAACTTGAAGACATTACATAGATATGTATTGTTGAACTGATTATTACTATATTACGTTATTAGTAGTATTTGATTACACAATGTTTTAGGAGCATTATTCATATATAACCCAATTATTGAGTTTGAAATCTTCAAGTTAGACATAGAATACAAACACAAGAAAATTAACACTTAGTTAATACGATCTACATCAACTAAGTTGGTTAGGATATTATTTTGTGTACGTATAGATAGGAATAAATTTAAATGATGGTTATCATTTTTATGATTTTGTATGATTTTACGATCTCGAATGAGGGATTTGAAGTCAGAAGCTTTGGTCTCTTATACGAACACATAACCTTCTGCGTATGGGACCGTGGATATGTGCTATTGAGGAGTTCCATACAAGGACGAAACGATCATCCAGTGGTTTCAAGTTTTCAATAATGGTCCGACATTGATCGATTTATGATCTCAATAAAAAACTCAACAATCTCCACAACCCCATCTTGACATAAAAGTACACTAAACTTTATAATAATAACAATTCATACTGTTGAAGGTTTTCGATATTATTTTATTATTAACATTTGTAAAATGTAATTGATTGGTTGATCATACTCTTCCACGTTGTGATCCTTCTTTATCTCTATTTGCTTTCTTTTTTCAGAATTCTCCTGATACGTATACATCAATGCCTCGTATTTCAACCAATCGAAATACATCTGTATATTCTTCTTCTTCAAGTAATAAACAACTTACTAGTAGTAATAATATGAGTAATACTAAAACATCACCAAGTGATATAAATTCTACTTGTGATGAGCATAATAATAATTCTAATATAAATACTATTCCTACTTCTATCACAACTACTTCAACATTAAACCTTCATAGTCATCATCCATATCATCCTGCTAATGTATCGTCAACAACAACTTTATCATCTTCAACATCATCGTCTATTTCCTCTTCCTCCTTATCCAGTTCATCTATTGATCCCGGTTCAGTAACGATATCTAATTTAAATACAACTTGTATTGGTACAGATCAGTCAACGGTAACAACACCAGCTTTGTTGCCAAATGAATCATCTAATTCATTATCGTCAAGATCATGTGATTCAACAACATCTAATCTGATTGTAAATTCTCCTAATCTTTCAGTAACGACAACAAATAATAACAACAATACTACTAATAATAATAATGTTAGCAGTAGTAATAGTACAACAAAACGCAAAAATAGTCCAACAACTACTGAAGATGATTTAACTACTGCCAATACAAATAATAGTAACAATAATAATAATATACAATCATATTATTCCACAACATATCCAAATACATCAACAATAGCTGGATCTAATAGTTTGATGCATAGTGGAATTCCTATCGCAACCGGTGGAATAAACAATAACACAAGTACTATGAATAATAGTAATAATAGTAATAGTAATAATAATTCCCATCGTTTATCTTCAAATAATCCTGTTACTGGTGGAACACATTCCCATTTAAACTATTCTGATATTAATTCAAGACATTTAGGCAATAATATGTCACAGTCGAATTTGTCTAATGCAACAGTATCAGTGACAGCTTCCACTGGATCAGTAAGTATACCAGGTGGAGTCAATTCAGGATCTTTAAATAATGCTGTAAATATTGGACATGGTATGAATAATGCTGAAACAACTATTCATAAAGCAAGATCAGCTTTATATGAGTAAGTATAAATTGTGATTTTCAAAGATAAAAAATTATGTCAGTTTGGCATCATATAAAACATTAGAAATTATTGGAAAAGCGTTTCGCCCTTGTCTGAATTTCTTCAGTAATGTGTATTTATTATTCCAAACAGAATGAAATCCGGGAAATAGAATTTTCTTAATATTTAAATTAGTTTTGAAAATCAGTCAACATACATGACACATGGAACTAGCTATTCAGTGTTTATTGATTCTCAATTATTTTCTGTATGATTCCATTCTGTTACTAAATATATTTCGATTTGTAGGAACTTCATGTGTCAATTGGACAAGTATTGTAAAACAATATAAATGGACAGATGTTTCGTCTTAGTATAGGAACTCCACAGGAATATGGATCCAAAACATCACCAAGTGTTGTACCCAGGATTTTTAGGTCTAGTGCTGATTCGACGTATTTTCTTACAATTAATATACTTTTTAAATTAAGCAAATCTGAAACTTGCTACATCTACACAAATACATAGTTTGTGAGAGGAAATGACATTGTGATAACACTTGGTCAAAACAATATGCTTGATTAACTTATATATATCAAATTTATTTTATTTGCACACATAAATATTGATACAAGAGGGCACCAAATATGTATGAGCCACACAAATTTTCATTTTATTTGTGTGTGAGCTGTGATACGGCCCGGGTACCAGACCAAAGCAGATGGTTTTCTTAGGGGGCCACACCCCGAGCCTTTGACCTAAAGGTCTAATCCACAAGGCAGTGGAGCATCGTAAGGAGATGCAATCCCACGGTAGCCAGTGGCCAACGATTGGTTCATACGCCATTTGTTCCCTCAGGATACTGGAACCCATGTGCACCATTGGTTTGGGATCCGGTCATAGCGCCGTACATTCGTTTTTCGTCCTCTCATTTTCATAAACCCTCGCCACTAGAAGGCAGTGAGTAGGATTTCCATGGTAGAGGTTGTAGACGCATTTGGGGGCTGTATATCAAATAGTATCATTCTTTTCGACTTTCGTTTCAAACAACGTAATATTTCCAAAATACCAAATGATTCTAACGCTTCTTGGAACTATCAATTTCTATTCTACTAGTTCTAACAATTTCTTATTAGCATAAATAAATTTTCTTTATCGTCAAAACTGTAAACTTAAAAAGACTTGTATAACTATTGTTTTGTGTAAATCTTCTATGAATATTGTACACTGATTAAATAGACACTATGAAGCTCAATCTATTCTGGATTAAATTTAAGTTTATTTAAATGAATCCATGTCAACTTAAATGATCTATTTACCTATGCTTCATATGAATCGATCCATCTTATGTTACTTGATTGGTTGAGATCAGACTAGTTAACCAATCAGAATGATCGGATTACGTGATTGGTTCAAAATTCAGATAGTTTTCTCATTATTTCCATATGTATTCAAATATTCACTTATATTATTTTCCTCTGATTTTTACAACTACTTATTACTTACTACTATACCCTAACAATAGGAACATTCATCTATTCAATAGTTAATTAAATGTTTATGATAGTTTAGTCCTGTTTGAAAGTCATTTTATTTAAGCAATAAAATCAACTGAGAGGGAAGATGTATTCATAGCTAGTTTTATCCTAATTTTCGAATGGTATAACTACTTCACTCCTGCAATTTTATCAAAAGAGTCAAATTATGTGGTTTCATTCCATAGTAAAGTTGAGACCAGTTGTCGGTTAACACAAACGGCAACTGGAAAATTGGTGAAAATCCTTGTACTTAATAATAATAATAATATGTATATTCGTAGGTGATTCAAGATTAATCTAAAGGGGGAATAAGAATTATTCATTCATCTTAATGTTTCATACATTAACAAAGGTTGGAAATTGTGTATTATTTGTATTCTACTCATACTTTGTGCAATATTATGCTTGACATATGAACTAACAGTGCTTTACTCGATATAATATAACTGGGTTTACAGGGGGAAGTTCCTGAGTTCGAGCCCTGAGTGAGATATCATGGATATGTAATATTGAGGAGTTCCGTACTAGAATGAAACGGCCGTTTAATGCTTCCAGGTTTTCAATGATGGTCTAACATAGATCCATTCTTGATATCGATCTAAGTTTATTTTATGTTTAAAAGAACCAATAAAATCCTCATTTATTTTAATCTTTTTCAAGATAATATCATTCTATAACCAAAATTAGTCAAAATATTCACATAATCATTAACAACCGGTAGACGATGAAAATGAAATTTCATAGGTAAAAGGAAGCTGGACCGTTATATTTTATTTAATCAACTAATATTGAGTAACTGCTTACTACTATAGGGTACGACATCAGTTTATGAAGTTACTATTCGCTGGTCTAATTTATATTGGTGAATACAAACTGACCTATTGTAGTATCCATTCCTTATTTGTAACCAGTCGTTGGAAAAATATAGTGTTAGTGAGATGGGATGAAGTCGGTCGTAGTATTCATTTTCTCGCTCCATCTATTTCTTAAATTATGCGTTATTTCTAACTTTGACTTCTACTTTATTTGCTTTATTTAGTGTAAGATTTCTTGTGTTCAGTTTAAAATTAAATCCTCTTCTCTTTTAATTCTTCTTGTATTAAATTTAACTTTCTCTCTATTTGATGTTAATATATATGAAAAGTTGAATGGATACACCTTTATAACCGGTACTACACTGATAATAACTTTGTAGTGGCTGTGCTTCGTTAATTAATCACGCTCATGACCCTTATTATATAATCCTCAACGGTGTTTGTAATCAGAATGCAAAGAAAAGCAGCGACTACAATTTTATTAACAGATAACTCAGACCACAAAGCAGAGAGGCAAATGAGTGAGTCAGTGAACCGAGAGTGTAGAGTATTAAATGCACATGTATATATATATAGGGAAATGAATGGATCATCGAATCGATTAAGCAGCTAATAATAAAGTTAGCAAAATGAATATATGCGTAGGCGGTAAACAATGCTCAAGCATACATATTTCATAAAAGCACAACAGTAATAAAGGTTCAATAAATTGTCATAGCACAGATGACTTTGTCTGCTAAATAAGTTAATAAAAGAACTTAACCGAATTAAATGAGAACAAACTCAATTGCACGTGAGTTGATATAACTATCGACTGATTTACTGACTGAGTGACTGATTAGTATTTTTTTTATTTTTGAATTATAAATTATCAAATGTACCCAGTACATATTTTTAACCATATATGTAAACATTATAATTAAAGATGAATGGTAGTTAGCAGTGAAATTCAGGACGCGCGTTTCGTTTTATTTAGGATACATCAACTGGATATACCTGCATCCCAGAGTTGACATTCACTCCGGGACTCGAACCCAATACCATTTGCTTCAAACACCATCGTCTTATCCATTTAATTACTGAATCCTGATAGTCAATTTTTTGTGCAATAGGATAAAGTCTAAATTCATTTTGTATTGTTTGTGTTGAATCTTCCCATTGATATGTAAGAATCCATATATGCATCCTGTGTGGATTGACTTGATATTGTATTAACTTACAAGCATTAATAAGCAAAGATGGATAGTGGTTAGTAATGGAATTCAGGAATTTTATGTAAATATTAGTTTGAATAATGAAACCTATAGACAAAGAATAATCTTTGTCATGGTATCTTAATCCTATCTAGTTATTATTTATCAAATGAATGAAAGTTTGTGTTTTTTTAATTTTCACTACTGAACAGAATATATAAATTCTATCTTCTTTCATAATCTGGTATGATATTTAAAGATTTAACTTTGTGATACCATAAATTGTTGTCAATATTTAATGATTGTGACTTAATTTCACACGCACATGCACACACACAAACACACACGCGCACAACACAAAATATCATCGTCATAACAATAAAGATCAAACTTAAAGTGTAGTGAAGAGAGATTTTCATACCGTTTATATATATACACATATCTATGTATATATGTAAAACAGTATAGTCGAATATATTAGATATATACAGGGAAATAGAAAGATAAGACATTAATGTTTGGCTATTCAAACAAGAACACTATAGATGGATATGTGCTTATTTATATATTGGCGTTGTTGCTTCTATCATTGTGGATGTTGTTATTTTAAATTCTAAAATTCCATTTATCAAATCTGTCAAAATTAAACTATTTTACACGAGAGACTATTACAATGTTGTTTAACTTATATGAAATTTCTATACACATAAACAGGAATTGGTCATGTATGGCTGTAGGTACATATATATATATATGCGTATCGGTATGGTCCCCTTTCATTTTCACCTGTGATGGTTATTCTTAGTATCATATAATTTTTCTATTCAAAGAAAAAAAAACATTCCTTATTGCTTCTGCTTTTGCATAGATATTTACATATACATATGCGTATGCGTATACATGTAGGTTATAGAAAGAAATACATATTCTTTGATAATACATAATTTTTTTCCCTTTCGGTTTCCCTTATTCATTTCTGTCTTCCCATATAGTAAAAATTTCTAAATTCTGTTTGTTTGTTTACTCGTTTGTTAACTTATATATGTCTATTCAAATCTGTTGTATTTCCGCTTGAAAATAGTAACAGTAGTAGTAGTAATAATAATAATGATGGTTATTATTATATATATGATAACTTGTTCTCATAACTTGTTCATCTCGTCACATTAGTTTAGCTACTAACGTAATAAAAAGGTGAAATTAGTTTCATAAAATTTCTTTCTTAATTTTCCATCCTACTGATACAGAATAAAATAGTGTCCTTGTGTGTGTGTGTATGTGTGCCTGTATATATATATGTGCATGCATTTGTCACAAAGACAACACATAAAAACAAAGTAACGAAAAAAAACCAGAAGGCTAAAGCAATAACAAAAATATCGACACTTCCACTCATTTATTTATTTCGATCTTATTCTAAATAGGATTGGCGCGTTTCTATTCCCTTGTTTTCTGTTATAATTTCTTCCCAT